GCTTCTTTGAAGCAGTTTCTTCCTGGGCTGGTGGAGCAGCGAGAGAGCGAAGCCTCCTTCTCTTCTCTCCCCCCTCCCCGGTCCTTGCAAAAATTTTCTGCTTGAAACCGGTCCCTGGTACAAAAAAGGTTGGGGACCACTGAACTAGGGGATTGCATTAGCTTTTTTGGCTGCTGCTGCACACTGCTGGCTCATATTTAGCTGGTTGTCCACTAAGACTCACAGTTACTGCTATTGAGCCTGGTTTCACCCAGTTTATATGTGTACTTTTGGTTTTTCTTGCCTAAGTGTAGGACTTCACTTTTCTCTACATTGAATTTCAGTTTTTTAGAATTTTGCAGTAACCTTTCCCTGCCACGCCCACCAAGCCACGCCCACAGAATCGGTGGTAAAAAATTTTGAATCCCACCACTGACGTACAGTAAGCCGGGAGGACAAAAGGCAGGAATCTAGTCTACAAGATCCTTTTAGGGGACAGATAAGGAAGGGAGATAGATAAGAAGAAACCAAGTCATTAAGGAAACAACGACAAAATGTCACCAGAACAGAAGAGAATAACGGAGTTGGAAACGGGCCTTGGAGATCTTCTAGTCCAGTGGTCGCCAACCACTGGTGGTCCACGAGAAAATTTTGGTGGTTCACAGAGAAATGTCCCCCCCCCCCAGCAATTAATCCAGGCTGCATGGGAACACAAGGCTGTGCTGCCCACATGGCCTGTGGGAACACAAGGCTTGCATTGCTTGCCTTGTGAACAACACAAGGTAGTGAGGGGAGGGGGGGAAAGAGCAGAGGGGGGGAACTTGCCCCACTCACCCCACACGCCTTGCCTGGCCACCGGGCTGCTTCTTTCCGCTTCTTTCTTCTTCTGCTTTTGGCTGCACGAAAGGAAAGCAGCCAAAGTCTTTCTTTCTCTCCCCCAAACTCCGCCAGAAATGAGTCTTTGGGGCCCTGCAAGGCCTCCTGCTCCAAGAGGCTGTTGCGGCATGGCAAATGTCACAAAGACTCACTTCTGGCGGAGCTTGGGGGAGAGAAAGAAAGACTTCTGCTGCTTCTGCTGCTTTCCTTGCATGAAGCCAAAAATCCTCCCCCCCCATTCTAGTCCAACCCCTTGCTCAAACCGAAGACCCTATACCATTTCAGACCAATGACCGTCCAATCTCTTCTTTAAAACCTCCAATGTTGGAGCATCCACAATGGGATGATCTTGAAATTTCTCCCAGACGTATGTCCCGAAGGTGCTTTTCCAAAAAAATCCAACTGGGTTTTCTTGTTCTTTTCCTTGAAAACATTTCACTTCTCATCCAACAAGCTTCTTCAGTTCTTCGGGAATGAAAGAAACTTCTTGGATGAGAAGCAAAACATCATCAAGAAAAAAAACCAAGAAAGTCTAGTTGCCTTTTGATAAAGCACCTTTGGGGCAACCCTGACCTGCCTGACTGAGAATCTGCGTAGACTCTCTGATGTATCTTATACTAATGAAAATCAAGACGGGGTTTGTTTGAGTTTCTTTCTAACTCTTTCCCCATCTCGGATCTGTGTATTCCTTCCTGAAGCACCTCCTCTTTGACGATAACCTCCTTTCTTCCTCCTTTAATGGTTCTGTAGGAAGAAAAACGCTGTCCAGTTCCAAGGTGGGAGAGAAGCACACCAGAATTCTTTCTATTCATTCAACCAGGGGTGGGATTCTACGGTTCAGACCGGTTCTATAGAACCGGTTGTTATGATTCTGCCCAGTTAGGACAACCGGCAAATGGTGCCCATGGCTGATCCCACCCCACCCCTTCCTGCCCACTCACTCCTTACCTGGCATGCGTGCCATCAAACTTGCCTGCTAAGTTGCTATTTTTCTTTTTCTTTTTTTTCCTGACCATTAGCTGTACTGCTGTGCTGGGAGATTTAGATTAGTTAGAAATCAGGAAATAGTTGGATTTCTTGCTTCCTAGCTAATCTAAAAGGACTGAAGCTTCTATTTTTCAGTGCAGGCTCAGATAGCAGATTGCAGAAAGATAGATGTCTAAGTGAATCTGTGATTTTGTGAGCAACTCAATCTGCTTGCCTGCTTTGCCTGATTTTGGATAAAAGTCATTTTTACAATATTTACAATATTTACAATATTTACATACAAGCCATGCCCAGCGAGTCACGTGACCATCAAGCCAAACCCACAAATTAGGCCACGCCCACCAAGCCAGTTGTTAAGAAATTTTAATCCCACCCCTGCATTCAACCATTTCTTCTTAAAGTGGGAAAAGTCAGACATTTTTGGCACAGTACTGTCTATTCTTACCAGAATCCATTGGCTTTTCAGGTTCCATCTAAAAATCCTTTTTTAGAGTTGCTAAGTGTGTTTTTTTCCTCCCCAGTTTGATAGGCAAAGCTTTCTTTTTTCACCTAGTCCTTAAGAGTAGCTTTAACTTTCTGCCATTCTTCCTTTAACTGTGCCAGTTCTTACTTATATGATGATGATGAGTCATAATTTTATTTGTGTAGTATTTGAACCTAATATTTCTAAGATGTGTTCTGGGAGGCTGCCAAATCTGAAACGAATGCCAAATCCGATGAATAAACAAAAATTGCACGCTGGCTTGCAAAAAAATTGATTTGATTCCAGCTACTAGTGTGATGACCCAGAGTGTTAACACAAACGTAACAAAATCCAAAATGTAAATAAATGTCCTTTAATGCCTCCAACTTGTCCCTACTGTTCAATAATACTCAGTTGGAGATACTCAAAAATAGTCTTCAAAAGAAAGCAATACAGTCCGAATTTAATGAGCAGATAGAGGTGAAATACAAAACCAAACAAACTACAATGATGAAATTTCCACAATGGAACAGGAGAAGTATTTATCAAAGTCAAGGAGATAACAAGGCACAGTCTGTTGGAAGGACGCCAACTAAGATAACTTCAGACCAAAATAAAACACGCTTTGTGCAGCGTTTGCCAGTATGCAGGTCCAAACTCTTATGCAGTTCTCACACCTGCAGCCCATGAAGAGGATCAATGAAGAGGATCATGGCCCTCTTCTCACGAGTAGACCACGTTTTTCCCTGATCCTCTCCTCCCTGCGTGCCCTAGGATGGATAGGGGATGGGCCTGGGTCCTCCTCTGACTGCTCAGCCGGCCTCTGCCCTTCCCCAGCCTCCTCCACAACCTCCGGAGCCACACTTCCACTCCCTGTTGGCTGTTCCTCCTCTCCTTCAGAGTCAGTTTCCACCAGGGGACAACTAGC